AAATATTTAAATTAAATTAGAAGTTCTTTATAACGGGACACACAATAAACAAATATAAACGAGACGATGACTTGCATGTGTTTTTAAAATTTTTGCGAAGTTTTACAAATTTACGAACGACTGATCATTTTTTTTTTTTTTGGTTGCATCACGCATTGCATTGCATTGCATTGCATTGCGTTGCGTTGCGTTGCATTGTGTTGCGTTGGGTTTTGCGTTGGGTTTTGCGTTGCGATTCGTTGCATCGTCGTGCATGGATGCAATCCGACAGAAGAAAATATTATTACTGGCACATTGCCTAATGTTTCAGGGTTGCTTTTATTTTACAGAGGAGTTGAATTACATTATGCGATCAGCTTTAATTACTGTAGTTGTTAATGGACCAATTGTATAATACATTTCTATGCTCGTTTTAATAACGTGATTTGTACAAGATCTATCAAATGATTAATAGATTCTTTATCTTTATCATCTGTCAATCATAATTTTTCTTCTTCTCTCGAAATATTCAAGGTTATCTGTTAATTTACCGATAATTTAGGTGCATATATTTTCTTTCCTTTTTTTTTTAACGAAAAGATGACAAGAGAAGAATAAGAAGATAACAGAGACAGAAGTTAAGAGAGAAAGAAAAAGATCAATTGGCGTAAAAAAGAAAAAGAAAAAGAAAAAGAAAAATCAGCTGACGATGAAACTTGTTCACAATATGTCGTCTAAAATCCGAGCCAAACATGGCCACCACTGCGCTTGCGCATACCACCGAAAGAAATGATTTATTCGCGATGCTTTAAAAGCTTTTCGATAATCCGACCACGGGTGGTCGTGTAGTCTCTGTCGACTATATGCAGTTGCTTTCGAAAAAAATTAGAGAAATACAGAAAGAGAGAGAGAGAGAGAGAGAGAGAGAGAGAGAGAGAGAGAGAGAGAGACAGACAGACAGTATACAGAAAGAAGAAGAAAGAGAGAAATAAAGAATATGAAAGAACGAAAAAGAAAGTAAGCAAGGGTAAAAAAAAAAAGGAAAATAAAAGGAAAATAGAAAGAAATGCGAGAAATGCAGACGGACAGGACAGGACAGGACAGGACAAACAGACAGACAGACAGACAGAATAAAAAAGAAAAAGAGAGAGAGAGAGAGAGAGAGAGAGAGAGTGAGTGAGAGGAAATAAAATAGGCCACGATACTCCATTAACCTGATTGCTGTGACAAAAGTAGCGACCTTTCCAAGCTCGCTTGCAGTTCCAGCACAGCAGAGCACAGCACAGCATACTACTACCACTACACCACTATTACTATCAACTAGTATAGCAAGTATACTACGAAACTGCTAAATGTGGACATGCCCTAAATTCCAAAACTCGTGTTTAGACAGCTTCTCAGCACGCTAATTGCTGACTATTAAATGAAATTCGTGCACTCGCAAGTAAGCCGGTTTAACGAGCTGCACGATTCGACGCTTACGATTTTCTTGCTCGAATACCTCTTTTCCCATTCCTCTTCCTTCCTCTTTTAACTCTCGATCGTTAATCGTTTTACGTTAACGTGCTATCTCTTTCACCTATGTGTTTATACGACTTTTGTTCAACAAAAAAAAAAAATAATACAAAAGAAAAAAAAACAAAAATATAAACAAATAGAAGAAAAAAGGGTTAAAGGTGAATGAGAGAAGAATGCAAATAGAAAAAAAAAACAGATAGAAAGATAAAGAGAGAAAGAAGGGTGTAGGAGAGGGAGGAAGGGGGGTGAGTGGGTGGGTCGGGGTGGTAGATAGATAAATAGATCGAAGCTAAACTAAAGCAGGTCACGCGATATGAGGAGGAATCTCGAATGTTAAACTATAATCCCCCAGAGGGCGGATAGTTAGCCTCTGAAAGCCATAAATAACATTTATCCACCGATTAAGGGTGGGGAAGAGGAGGGGAATAGAGGCTTTTCCATTCTAATTCGTGAGCTTTATTATAAAGGCTCCTGATTACGGCTATGCGCGTACATTACATTCCCCCATTCCTTTCCTTTCCTTTCCTTTCCTTTCCTTTCCTTTTTTTTCTTCTTGTTTTCTCTTTCTCTTCTATGCTTTTACCGTTTCTTCACCTTTCCTTCCCTTCCCTTCCGTTCTCATCCCTACCCCTTCGTCGTACTTCTTTCTTAATCCTCGATTACACGCTCAAGCTCTCGACATATGCAAGAGCTTTCATTCGTTTTACAATACCATATATTCCATCTGAAAATGATTTTCCACGTGTAGGTGTGTGTGTGTGCGTGGAGGTTTTACCCTTTGTTGTGTACGTGTCGGGAAGGGGCGGTTATACGAGTGGATTTTTTTTGTTTATTTTTCTTTTTTTCAATTTTCCCTGAAATTCGCCATTACTTGTCGAGATTAACGTTTCACAATAAAACAAATTTGATTTTGCCAAGGATGCAAATGTACCAAATGTGTGTGCATGTGCATTTGTCTGTGTGTATTTACCATTTGAAAATACTATTCAATTTGGAATAGATTTAACGACTAATCCTGAATGTATTTAGAGATTTATTAATCTTTTGAATATGTTATAACTATTATAAGTAGATTCAGAGTATTATTCGTATAAGAAATACGCGTACACATCTTTGGTAATATTTATTTTATCGAAAATGTTTCTAATCTAGGTTTTCATTAAGTATTTGAATAATATATTTTAAATTTTCAGGTTTTTATTTTCAATGAAAAATTATTAACGCGAATTAATATTTTATAAATAGTAGTAAGTAATAGAAGTAATTCAGTTTATTACCATACCCCATGTATTTCCTGAATCTGAATATAAATCTTAATTTATTTATTTATTTTATTTTTTTAATTTAGGATGCTTTTGCACGAACGACCCTTATAGGAGTCGTTAGTAACGAAAGGATTTAAAAAATTCTATCATTTATCAAAATTCTACAACATTTTTAAGGTTTTTCCCACTCATACGGTTATTTAGTTAAAAACTTGTATAGAAATATATATATAATATTTATTTAATATACTACTCATTTAAAACAAAAAACAAAATATAAAATTTTCTCTGCAATTACTAGAATAAAATAAAAAAATTTATCTTCAAATCGTTTAACCAGTTAACCTGTCGGAGTATTTAAATTTCAATTTCTAAGAAAAAGAAAAACAAAACAAAAAGAAAAACAAGAAAGACGATAAATAAAAATAATAAAACTTACCATGATGAATGAGTGGATTGTGCCGGTATAGATGGCAGCGCACCAGGTGGTAGAGATCTTCTTATTGGTTGACAACATGGCCTTTGTCCGTTAGCATTTGTAGCTTCGTTACAACAAGATGGTGGATTGGCGCAAACGTGTCTCGCTACGATGCCAGCAGAATTAGTCGTAAATTCAACCGCAGACGTGCGTAACTTTGGCCTGAGCAACGGTGACGTCGAGAAGCTTTCTCCACCTCCAATCCCTCCCCCACCTCCAGTTCCTCCGACTACGCCACCTCCTCCACCATTTCCTCCTCCGCCATTTCCACCACCACCAACACCACCACTACCACTTCCTCCTCCGCCTCCACCGCTCCCAACACCTCTTTGATTCGACGTTGCTGAGCTGCTAGAGCTACTGGAACCTGGACTTCCACCTAGACGAGCCGGTGACGCGTAGGCGAAACCGCGGAACCGGAAGTGCGCCTGGTGGTACGGATATCCGGCTGGTGGTGGTAGCCGGTAATGATGATGGAAGCCCAGGTCTCTTCTCATGTACGGATCACCGGGGTCGTTCGTGGGCACGTAACGATCCGTTGGGGTATGGGCAACCGGTGGTACGTACCTGTCCACGTACCTGTCCGGATAGAGCACCTCCGGAGGTGGTTGCGGCACATACCTGATTAAATATTAATTATAAATTTAATAATTTACAATTATAATGGATATATATAGATAATAATAGGAAGGAATTGTGTTTCTTAATCTGGTCGAGGGTTGAATATTTTTTTCAAGACTTTGTTAAATATTTAACTATACAAATAGGTATTGTTGCTTTGAATGTAATGGTGTTTATAATGTAAGGTTTCTTTTTTTTCATTATTGGAATTGAGAAAATTAAAAATGATGTGTATATCTGATAAATGTAACCTATCATGTAATAATGATTAGCTTTTTGTTTGTTGTTATTGGTAAATAAAAGATAATATTGATCGATAAAGATTAATTACCGTTCGACCGGAGTGTGAGCCGTCGGCGGGACGTAAGTGCCTGTACTCGATGATCCGTAGGGCCTATCGGTCGACGTAGGAACGACGGAAGAATTGGCGCAGCTAGAGATCGGCGCTATCCTACCGGTAAACCTATCTTTTGGTTTCGGTAAGGACAGGTACTTGTCCGGGACGCTACGTGCCGGAGAGTATCGATCAGAAGGAGGGTGAAAGCGGTCAGGAGTGGTAGTAGACGATGAGAATCGATCGTTTGAGCCCCCTGACCCCGGAAACCTGTCGTATCGGTCTTGAACCGGTCTGTCAAACTGATGCTCGTTCCCGAGCGAATATCTGTCGTTGGCATAGCTTTGGACCGACTTCGACACTTGGAGGAACTTATCTCCTCCGTTCTTCGACGATGTCTGATAGGTTCCGTTTGGTCCAACATTTGCAACGGTACCTCGGAGTACCGTACCTGACGTTTCTGGGGTCGGTGAAATCGTGGAGAAACGATCGTTAACCGTCGTCGCCGATGACGACTGGATGCCATTGGCATTCGCGTACGGCGAATGATAGCGCGTTCCAGTTTCCGAAGACGACGACGGTGAAGACGACGTCGCGGCGGCCAGGATACGTTCGGTTGGGTTCGAATCTGTGACGACGACGTACCTTGAAGAAGACGACGACGACGTTTCTGGTAGGTTCGACGATCTACCCTCGTGTCCTGGTGACGATGCCGTGAGATAAGCGACCCCACCAACGGAGTATCTTTCCCCGTTACCGCGTGCCTGACCACATGATCTTTGTATAACGAGCTCGTTGAATCTGACATCATGAAAATTCGAGTATCTAACGTATTCCGCGTTACCGTTGTTGACGCCGGCACCTTGTCCAACCTGATTCGATCCATTCGATCTTTCGGAATATTTTTGACAAACTGCCTCGACCGTTCTGTCGGCATAGTGTCGTCTATTTTGATCGTTCGCATTTGATACCACCTGAATAGATCTCTCCGTCGCCGTGGAATATCTTTGATGCGTACCTTCGTTAGTCGACGCGGGTAACGGGAAAAACCTTTCGTTACTCGTTGCGATCGATGAGTAACGATCGTGGTGCAAACTCGATGATGTCTCTTGTTGGGAACGGTGATAACGTTCATGGATCGGTGATTCCCCGTGTACGTATCTGTCGGATGATTTACCGGCGAATCTTTCGGGTACGGGTGCGTGAATCGGCGATGCCGATAATAATCTCTCAGTCGAGATCGTTGTGTATCTCGACGCTGGCGAATCTTTTCCTGATCCGACGTAACTTCCAAGGATGTTCCTGTCGATTTGTAAATTGGTCTGAAGGGCTCCCAACACTGGCGAAGATCCCGACAAGAGACGATCCCCATTGTTCCCAGTGTATCGTTGCTGTTGTTGATCCTTGACATCGTGCATGCTGCTCGCCGCGTTGCAACTCGATTGTTGTTGATTGGCCAACAATCGTTCACCCGAAGAGTATCGGTCCTTCGTTGGCATAGGCGAGGCTGGTGCTGTTCCACCGCCATATCTGGCGCCCGGAGAACCGGGGGGCAAAATCCTATCAGCAGGAGGATAACCAACCAGGCTCTGGGACGAGGCATATTTCTCGCTTGGGCTGGGCGAGAGGGGCGGGGGCGGCACGAACCGATCGTTGGCTGGTGCCGGTGAGGGTGGCGACGGAAAGGTCTCCGACGAGAAGGAGCTTGACGTGCACGAAGATACGAGGACGTTTGCGTTCGCGTACTCGTTGTTCGTTGATGCAAGTCCGGGATCGTTGCTGACATGATGGAAACGCAATTCACCCCCGTTAGCGACCTATCGATGCAAATATCGTACAAATTTGTAAATATTTCTTCGAATAATTAACTATACAAGAAATAAGGCAAATATTATTTTGTTAAAAAAAAATTAATTTTCTGTTACTTTTTGCGTAAGTTTATTTTTTTAAAGTTTAGAAATATGTAACCTAATTAATAATACATAATTAGTATCATATTTTTAACTTGTAATTATTGATTTTATTTTTACATTTATTCCTCTATTTAGCAATCTTATAAAATCAAATGTTCCATAACATAGAACGTAACAGTTCGTTATAATCCAATAGTCAGCTTACCTGAAACCGATCTCCTGGCGGTATAGACAATCTTTGTTCGGCATGGAGGTTGCTGAGATCAGTGAATCGAGCGAATCGGTCGACAAGGACGTTCTGCGACAAGGATTGGCTAGAACTAGTTTGTCTTCCGGTGTATTGGTGATGAGCTTGCAACCCGGATTGACCGAATCTCTCCTGATTTTGGTAATGTCCGAATCGCTCGCAGCTCGACTGAACCGATCGAGTCTCGACATTGGATTTGCCATAATCCTCGATTGAGGACTTGTCCGTTGACTTGTCGTGCCGATCGATCGCCGAGATTCTCTCACGAGAGACACCATACTCGCTGTGATCGTTGCTCTGAACTTGCTGATCGGTTTGATAACGATCTTGGTTTGACGTGCCAGGGATTGTTGGCGTTGATCGCGAATCGGACTGCTGTTGTTGCTGCTGCAACTGCTGCTGCTGTTGTTGTTGTTGTTGTTGTTGTTGTTGTTGCTGCTGTTTATAGCAATCCGTTTGGTTACCGGCAACAATTTGTGTCCCGACACTCCCGGGGTTTCCACTATTGGGCCCTGGAATTGGGGATGACGAAGGCCCGTATTGGGCAATCGGGTGCTGGTGCAACAGGTGACGTTCTCTTCGGCCATAGTCGTCGTCTGTCGGCATCCTGGTGGCCCGGGGCCCGCTGTCAGGACATCTAAAGAAGAAAACAAAAACAATCCTTTAAGTTATATTCAATTTATCAATGTATTATTTTATATCTATTTAACCCTTTGCATTTTATTGACTCTGTTATTGCAATGTTTTAAATAACTTCAAGTATAATGCACGCAATGTGTACAAGTAGTCAATTAAAACAGTATGCTACTTTTTCACAGATAATTAAAAAATTACAAAGGATTAAATTTACATTTGTTATGGTAACTTGTGAACAAATCTTTGTTTAAACTATTTCTTCATTTATTTAAAACCAAGAAATGCATTTTTAATGAGTATATATGGTAGATTCATTTGGTCTACCGAATATATTCATTATAGTCTAAATGGTCATTACATTACTCATTATCTATATGTATATTTCTACAGGTGTTATGTTATAACAGATAAACGTACATACGTCTCGCGTTAGATAATTCGCTTTAATTTGCTATTAATGTTTGTCTCATCCTAATTTGATCCTCATATTTGCATAAGATTAAAAGACTAATGACGATTAAGTAATACACATGTTTTAATACCTTCTATGTACAAGTTACAACTTAACTTGATTATTTGAGAAATTAAGGTCGTCGATCGATGGTTGTTGTTGCATCCCTTTTTGGTTAGAAACATTTTGTTATACATGCATATACCTGGTAACTTTTAATGAAGTCTATGATGCATAAAACGTTGGACTAGGGGACAAATAGGTAAATAAATAAATAAATAAATAAAATTGTTTATAGATTTTATTGACAATTTACATATATATTTTATAGTTTCCTTATTACAATATATATCAATCGAATAATCTAACCAATTATTTGAACAGGAAAAAATAAATTAACAAACGTACCTACTAGATAAATATAGAATATAATAATATAATTTATGATTATTGACAATTAATAATTTCCTCGATTAGTCAATAATAATTTCAAACGATTCGTCTAACATAATTTTCTAATTAACCTAACGAACGATCATAAACAAGCTAGGATTAGATAAACGTTTCCAAAAACAAATAAACACAAACACGAATAGATATGAATAAATAGATAATAATAAACGTGGAGGAGAATTTTAGTGACAATTTGCACCTCTTCCTCTATCTAACACCTCCGCACCACCACCCCCAAGCCAATTCGGTTAACCTAGCCCCCTTCCTCCTCCTGCCCTTGCGTTGATCTATCATATTTCTAAACCGAGCTATCTAACAAAACGATAAACGAACGATCACGTCATAACGATAAAATGTTATACGCAATGGCCACCATTGGACAAGGTACGGATGGGTTGTTGTTACGTGACGTTAAAACGCGACTCGTATAATCGACTGCAAATTAATTGGAGCCAACCTCCTCCATTGCAACCCCCACATCCCTATCCCTCATCCCCAACCATCCCCAAGCATCCCCGAAGCTCGTTCGCTCGCATTCGAGTTTCACTATAGCCGAACGTGTCCGAACGAGTGACGCGTATGACCATACATAACCACAGCTCGACTTCCATGCCGAATTACTGCAACATACGAACCCATTTTATCGATCGAATTCTCTCTCTATCTCACTGGGGTTCTGTTTTCGTTCATCTTTTTATTTTTATCTCTTTTGAAATTGATAAAAAAAAAAAAAAAAGAAAAAAATATTACACGAGTGAGAGATTAATACAGGGTGTTTGATTAAGGGTTTGTTCATTTTTCTTTCTCTTTTTTTTTGTTTGTTTTTTTTTTTGTTTTGTTTTAAACGTATAAACATTGTCAACGTATTGTACGAATAAAAATAAGAATCAAATGTTTTCTTCCTTTTTTTTTCTTTTTTTTTTTAAATATTTATAGTCCATTTAAATGCATCAATTCGAAAGTTATACGATTCATTGTAAAACTGTCTATAATTTAAGTTTGTTATTATTTTTTTTTGAAAGTAGAAAAATTGTATTTTAGGGTAAGTGAGTTGGGGTTGATCAAACGTGAAGATTTATTTTTTATTGGTTATTTACATAAATAGATATGATAAACGTATTTGCGATAAAAAAGGAAAAGTATTATCGAGTTTACTTGAATCATAAAAATAAATTGTTAGAATTATTTTGTATTATTTATTTATTATTATTATTATAAAAGATAAGAGAGAGAGAGAATCGGTATATTAGATGTATTCTTTAATTTAAGATAAATGAGAATATCTCTTATCGAACACGGTTTTAGGTATAAATTGGAAGTAGTATCGTACCGCAGCGTGTGTGGTGTGTAATATCGTTGCTAGAATGAGAAAGTGGGGAAAAATAGAAAAAAGAAAAAAAAGAGAGACAAAAAGAGAGAAAGAGAGAGAGAGAGAGAGAAAGAGAAATTTTTGTGCACTGCAATGCGTCGTAGTCCAACATGTAGGGCCGAAAAGGGAAAAAAGTTGGGTTGGTTGGTAGGTGGAAATGGTGCGCGTTGCCAGTGTCGTAAAGATAAAACGCAGCTGGTGTGCTTTTGCGAGTGAGTGAACTAGGGTGAAAGAAAGAGACAAAGTAGAAAGAGAGAAAAAGATATAAAGAGAGAAAGAGAGAAAGAGAGAGAGAGAGAGAGAATAAGGGTGAGAATGAAATGGAATGGGATAAGAAGACGCGTACGATACTTTAACTTTTGCCAGATCGTATAATATCTTTGGCCAATCGATTGCATTTCTCTTAAACCACCCCTTCTCCACCTCAACCCCAAACCCCAACCCCAACCCAAACCCCAATACCATACTTTTTTATTATTACGAAACTTATCGGTTAACTCCACAAAATTTAACGTTACGTTTATGAATAACCGTGATATTCCTCGTGAAAAAAAGAACAAACGAGTTAGAGAGAGAGAGAGCGAGAAAGAAAGAGTGTGAGAAAAGATATTTCGTAAGAATTATTTAAATGTTGTTTTAAAATAAAACTTTTAGAATTATTTTTAACCACGTTTTCTATGTATACGTATTTTTAAAAAATATACTATATATATATATATATATATATATATATATATNTATATATATATATATATATATATATATATATATCTATCTTGGAAATAATTGTAAAAAATTTCATTTTTGGTTTGATTTATTTTGTTTTATTTTAAGATATCATATAATTAATTCAACAACAAATTATAGATATAGTTAAACATTTATTAATGATAAACGATGAAATTTAATAATAGTAATTTTAATAGTAAATTTGGAAAATGGTTTCTTTTGACATCATCGATAGGAATAATGTTACACTATTTGTTTTTTAATTTATTATTAAATAAAATGAATTAAAAAGTGTGACGCTGTTTGTCCGCAATGGACTCTTAAACTACTAAACCGATTTTAATCAAATGTTATACACTGTGTGCAATTTCATTCAACTTGAAAGATAGAATAGTTTATATCTTAATTTATAATCGCAATATTATTTTTCGTTGACTTAAAGATGTGTGTATCGGACTGATTGTAAACCACAATACAAACACATTGACAAACATTCGTTGAAATGTTACAAAACTTATTGTTTCATAACAAATTATTATTAAAAGAAAAAATAGTCATCTTTTACGAAGAGATTATATCCGACCTTGAATTGATTGGTAAATAGATAAGTAGTGACGGATAAAGAAGAAAAAAAAAGGAGAAAAAGTGATCATCAAGACACGGTCGGACTTTAATGCACCTTTTCTACTTGCTCTTTTCTCGCAAAAAAAAAAAAAAAGAAAGAAAGAAAAGAAAAAAAAAGGAATCTCGCTTGCGTGGACAACTAGCTGCAGGCAGTTTTTGCAATTAGCGATTCTAGGGTACCCTTAAGCCAGTGTTTCTCAACCTATAATCCGTAATTCAATATTCGTAATCGAATTTTTAAATCTTTCAAATTATTTATTTTAACGATTAAAACGTAATATATTATATAACAATTAGTATACATATGTAATATTATTTATTTCAATATAAAAAAAAAAAATTGTAAAATTGATTGATTGACGGACGTAATAAAATTGTCAAAAATTCGTTAATTTCAAATATTATAGCGAAAATATATATTTTTAACTGTATATAAATTTCAATTAATTGCAATAATAAAATATTCGTAATAAGAAACATATAATTAATAAATGATAAATATATCAAAACATTTATTTTAGTTAAATTTAAATAAAATTATCATCTATATAATTTCGATATAAAAATTATAATGAAATTTGACGAATAAAATAAAACGATAATCACATAAATGAAGTTAATATTATACAATATATTATTTATTATATTTATTTATTAATAATTTAAACAAAACAAAAAACATCTTGTGTATTATTCGATCTAAAAATTATGATCAAATATGACGAATAAAATAATAAATGATATTTCATATTTAATATGGACGAAGTGTAGGAAGAAAAAAAAGAGAAAGAAAGAAAAAAGAGTCTTTAACGAATTTGAGAATACTCGAGAAAGAGAAAGAGAGAGAAAGAGAGACAGTAGTCCTTTACAAATCGTGTTTCTAGCCTCCTCGAGATAGAATTCCATCTTGAAAGGCCATGACACGCGATACGTGTCATGTGCATTCACGCAAAGCACGAAAGCAACAAAGATCCATTTGTCAGAGTCGTTTTCTATGACTGCGAGGGCACGAATTTCGTTTCTCGAGATTTCTCGCCTAGCCGAGTAGCTAGAAGTGAAAAATATTCTAAGAGAAAAGCTCTTACACATAAATACACACACACACACACACACACACACATATATATATATATATATATATATATATAACATTTGAGTTTGGCGACGTTCGCGAATATTATCCCATTTTCTTCCATTCATCTTACGTGCACGAGTTGTGAATTCTAAATCGTAACGTTTACGACGTGACAAAGAAAAGTACACATTTGTAAGTGATTTTTTTGTTTTGTTTTTTCTTTTTCTGAGAAGAACAAAAATTAATTTCTATGTTTTTTGTTGTTGTTTTTTTTTTTTTTTTTTATCGATTTAAACCTTC